GTTATTCCGTGTTAACCCAGWATAGTTGCATAGTTATTGTTATTCCGTTATTCCGGGGGGGGGGAACTCCGGGGGTAAAAGTGCCGGGGATGCTTGCCAGAAATTTTCAAAAAGACCCCTAAAAGATCCCGGAAGTCTTGAAAAAAGGGCGTGGCTGAGTGATTTTTAACCCCTAAGAGATTGCACAACAAATAATGTTAAATTAAAGTCAGTTGCAATGATAAAAACGCAGAGGAAAATCAATATCGATGCGCCCTTTCTCTTCTTTTCCGACACCCCAAGAGATTCCAGAAAATGCACATTTCCAGAAACTCTAAATTGTCTCCCTTGAGATTCCCAATCACGAATTTTTACCGCTAAGAGATACGACGAGTATCCCCGGTACATTTACCCAGGAGTCTCCCACCCCCCGGATGTGAACCCTGAGGATTGCTTATAGAAAAATTGATAATATATAGTTAACAAAAATGTTGATAAAAGTTGTAAAACACCTTAAAATTCATCTATACACTTCCCTAGTCCTCAACGGGGCTAAGTGCTGTTAATTTTGAGGCCAAGCCTTTAGTTTCGGTCAATTACTGCCTCAAAATAAACTATCAGAAAGGGCGAATTCTAACCTTTGGTGCCCATGTTAGACCGACAAATAAACCTAGTGGAATGGTCTTCACACATTCCTGCGCCATCTTGTAGTCGTTGTAAGGCAGCCATACCTTTGCATCGAAGTGAGATGTTTCAGAGCTTTCAATTTTAGTTAATTGTAAATACTTTCCCATCGCCATCTTGAAAGGTAGCAATCCTTCACATCAAAGCGAAATATACAAACCAGCAATGAGCGTCTAGGACGTCTAGATCTGCGAGACCATATATGAATCAGCTGCAAGCATTTGTGAAAAAAATGTGAGGTCCTAAGTACTAGGAGGATCGGAGCCGATGGGTTCCTGGGAGAAATATGTTTTATGTCCCAGCCAGCTGTAAGTCACAACTGGTTGCCAGCAAGAAATTCAGGAAAAAAGAACTCTCCAGGCAAGGAATACTTTCTAAGAATTTTTGCCAAGAAAATAAAAGTATCCTAGCTAAAAAAAATATAAGCCTTTTTTGACCTTTAGCGTTTACCAGGAGCAAAATTATTTTAAAGAAGTAAGGGCGCCACATTTGCTTGTGAGATTGTCAACAATGCAACTCAAAATCCCTTTCCACTGAAAAATCGCGCGCTTTAAAGGTTGTAAATTTGATTTAAATATGATGTAAGTGTTCAAAATTCTGTAAATTTGATGTAAATGATTTCCATTAAGTTTACAGAATTTTGGACACTTATATCATATTTACATCAAATTTACAACCTTTAAAGTGCGCGATTTTTTCCGGTGTTCCCAGGAAAAAATTCGTACAAGAACAGTTATTTAGAAGAACAGACCCCGTCGGCTCCTGAAATACACCGGTGGCAAGCCATTAGCTATGATGTTGTCAACCGAGACCAAGTTCAAAAGTCTTCTTTCAAGATTGACATGCTAACCATACATCGGTGTCAGGTGTCAAAGTCTCGGAGATCTCATCAGTCACGCTCTTGAAGTTCCTTAACGCATGCTTAGAAAGCATTTGCGTGCAAACGATTGAGTTTTTGTGGGGTTTTACATTTAGACTAGCTTTCGTCTACTCGTGCACATTACAAATGTCAGTCTGTACAGTTCCACAGTCGCCGTGATCACATCTTACAGCCCAGAAGTTCTTCGTGCTGTCTGCAAATGCGCAATCATTAAGGGCGCCTGGTAAGTCGAGTTTTGATAATAGTAATTGAGTAATACACGAAAAATGCTCTGCATGAACCTTTTGTGTATAGTATAATCTATTAACACTTTTAAGTTTTATATTTGAGCGAGCAACCCAAATNATGTATGGAGAACTAAAAATGAGTTTACTCGCTCTCTAGATCAAGTACGCCTTTCAAATTTGGCCAGTTAACTCCTTTTTGCAGTATCTAACGTTTGCAAATGATAATTCTTTCTGAATTTGAATTAAGCGAGAATTATTTGACATCGATTTCCCGGTCATTCCTTGTTATTTTGCGACACTATGCCTACCCGTCCAAAATGGCGGACAAAACCGTCACCTCATCTATTGTGATAAAATATGAGAAATATGGTTTTGAGTCCAATTTTACATTGGATTGAATACGTTGGAGTTTTGGTCAGGCTTCATGATTTATTCACGATCTTATAACAGACCTTTTGAAAAAGGTCGATGCAACGACTTTTATCAGTCTGACAAGACACATTTAGTTATGAAACCGCAAAAAAAAAACATGTCAGAGGCAACTATTCACAGCGTTTAACATTGAATTATTCTCGTTTTGAAAGAAMGGGTASAGTATRTTCTCTGRGACGACCACGTGCGAGATACCCAATACGGTTATAAGTATACTACTCGGTTAATTCCTACCGTGGTCGTACTACTTAACATGAAGAATTGTCTATTACAAGTGCAGATATCTACGGGGTTTTAAAATTGTGACTATGACTTAATGTTTGGTTACATGGGCGCGGTCAAAAGGAGTACCGTATCCATTGCGCCTAGCTATGCTACAACTTCTAATTTAACAAAAATAGGCCCTATTTGTGTTAACTTCACCAAACGGAACACTTCTTCGTCGGGTTCATGGGGCTGTCGACAGGACATTGAAACGCCTCGGAAAACTTGTCAAAGTTTGAGAGAGTTCCGATGACTCTGCAAGAATCAATAGAGAGGAATTACATTCTCTTTCTTGATTCAACGGCGAAACCATCTGGTGGGTTCAAATGGGGGGGGGGATGTCACCCCTCATTGAAGCTTGTACCCCTTTTAAAATATCCTTTCGTCTAATTTGAGTCTTTCTCGTGATCTCTTTGCTGGTGTTGGGGCCCTCCTGGAAAGACCACTTTAGGATTCTCCCTAAAGAAGTTTTCGACTCCTTCGTGACTCTCATGTTTGCATAACCACCTAGAGAACTTTTTTTTTTTAAATACTGCATGTAATTTGGGTGATTGATTTGCATGATAAATAAACACATAATTAGCAAAGGATTGCGCAAGTTCATAGCTTACCAATCTGTATTTTTACCTGTATTTTTGCGTGGTGTGTGTATCATGCTTTCGCATTTCTACGCCCTTTGGTTTATAGGAACTACACCATTGCTGTTGAATAATCAAAATTGATGACATTTCAACGAGGTACAAATGTATAATAGCAAAGTCAAGAAACCCATGAAATAGATATTGCACTAATACACCTTGGTACGCTCTAATTGTATCCCTATGCCTTGTATTCTTTTGTGTCTATTTGAATATCACGCTAGGTTTTGTTCCACGAGTGTCATGGCTTCAATCTAATGGAGAGGTTTATGTTCGTTTGTTCCTTCGTTGGCTCGTTTGAATGGTCTTTTAGTCTCTGTTTGTATTAATTTAATACAACTATTTCAAGAAAGTTTGTCGGAAAAGATGTGGAATGTCAATAATTGTCAAACGGCAATTGCACGACCGACATGAGTCATGGGTTTTTCTAATTGATGGAAAATAACAACTGATTCATACAGATAAGATAGTTGTGGTAAACATCTATCTATTTAGTCTCCATTTTCAATAAACACGGTTAACCCAGCAAGAGATATTTTGTAAGTTAAAAAGGGCAACCATAGTCCCATGGTCATCCAATCGCGGTTTGCCGTCATCCCTGACAACTTTTTTGAAATAAGTGTATAAAATGCTTTTAACTACACTGGTGAAAAACGCACTGCGCATGTCCACAGCTTTCCCGCTGAAATCTGCCTAATTTTCTTTGTAAAGCGATTTTGGTGAACGTTTTTTACAATTTATAAGCTCGTTCACCGATATATAAGATTCATATTTCCATCAATCTTTGATATGTTCTTTTAGTATGTAGTTTCTATTTTTAACTTGTCATTTCTTTTTTGAGAAAATGATTTTTTTCGTAGTGTTTTCTGCGTTGTCGCTGTAAATCGCCAAGCGCTTTGTTCAAGATGCGGGCGCTCACTGGCGGGAAAACTGTGGGCATGCGCAGTGCCTTTTTCACCAGTGCCTATAGTAGGTGTTCGCTGAAATCATGTTTTGTTGATTTGACTAAACTATATATGTGTGTGTGTCTTTCTTCGACTTAGTTTAGGTGATTTAATTGATCGTTACCTGAGCAAACCCAACAAAGAACAATTGTTCAGGAGACAGCTTCAGTCCAGGAAGTATTTTCTCAGATTCATGCTTGGCTATCCAATTTTGATATGCCTAGAAATCGATAGCACAACATAATCATTATCTCTCCTAACATATTCTTA